TCTATAGTCTAGTCTATAGTCTAGTCTATAGTCTAGTCTATAGTCTAGTCTATAGTCTAGTCTATAGTCTAGTCTATATGTAGTCTATAGTGTATAGTCTATAGTGTAGTCTATAGTGTAGTCTATAGTGTAGTCTATAGTGTAGTCTATAGTGTAGTCTATAGTCTAGTCTATAGTCTAGTCTATAGTCTAGTCTATAGTCTAGTCTATAGTCTAGTCTATAGTCTAGTCTATAGTCTAGTCTATAGTCTAGTCTATAGTCTAGTCTATAGTCTAGTCTATAGTCTAGTCTATAGTCTAGTCTATAGTCTAGTCTATAGTCTAGTCTATAGTCTAGTCTATAGTCTAGTTTATAGTCTAGTCTATAGTCTAGTCTATAGTAGTCTAGTCTAGTCTATCTAGTCTATAGTCTAGTCTATAGTCTAGTCTATAGTCTAGTCTAGTCTAGTCTATAGTCTAGTCTATAGTCTAGTCTATAGTCTAGTCTATAGTCTAGTCTATAGTCTAGTCTATAGTCTAGTCTATAGAGTCTATAGTCTAGTCTATAGTCTAGTCTATAGTCTAGTCTATAGTCTAGTCTATAGTCTAGTCTATAGTCTAGTCTATAGTCTAGTCTATAGTCTAGTCTATAGTCTAGTCTATAGTCTAGTCTATAGTCTAGTCTATAGTCTAGTCTATAGTCTAGTCTATAGTCTAGTCTATAGTCTAGTCTATAGTCTAGTCTATAGTCTAGTCTATAGTCTAGTCTATAGTCTAGTCTATAGTCTAGTCTATAGTCTAGTCTATAGTCTAGTCTATAGTCTAGTCTATAGTCTAGTCTATAGTTAGTCTATAGTCTAGTCTATAGTCTAGTCTGTATGTCTAGTCTATAGTCTAGTCTATAGTCTAGTCTATAGTCTAGTCTAGTCTAGTCTATAGTCTAGTCTATAGCTTAGTCTATAGTCCTAGTCTATAGTCTAGTCTATAGTCTAGTCTATAGTCTAGTCTATAGTAGAGTCTATAGTCTAGTCTATAGTAGAGTCTATAGTCTAGTCTATAGTCTAGTCTATAGTATAGTCTATAGTCTAGTCTATAGTATAGTCTATAGTCTAGTCTATAGTCTAGTATATAGTCTAGTCTATAGTCTAGTCTATAGTCTAGTCTATAGTCTAGTCTATAGTCTAGTCTATAGTCTAGTCTATAGTCTAGTCTATAGTATAATCTATAGTCTAGTCTATAGTCTAGTCTATAGTCTAGTCTATAGTCTAGTCTATAGTCTAGTCTATAGTCTAGTCTATAGTCTAGTCTATAGTCTAGTCTATAGTCTAGTCTATAGTCTAGTCTATAGTCTAGTCTATAGTCTAGTCTATAGTCTAGTCTATAGTCTAGTCTATAGTCTAGTCTATAGTCTAGTCTATAGTCTAGTCTATAGTCTAGTCTATAGTCTAGTCTATAGTATAATCTATAGTCTAATCTAATCAAATCGCATATTTGCTATCAAAATTATATTTGTTTTTTAGAATTGAAACTCCCTAATATCGCATATTTGCTAGTAAAATTATATTTGTTTCTTAGAATTGAAACCTCCCTAATATGTACTTTTATTTTTTTGTTGTCCAATACAATAGAAACAATAAAAAAAAAAAAACAAAATAATAATTTACATAAAATTATAAGAAAATATTATCATCATATTACCTTTTGCTACCGTCGACGTTTATTATTAGTTTTTCTTTTATTAATACGTTTTTTTTAATTGTCTATTTACAAGCAAACAAACAGCTTAAATAACAACAAAAAAACTGTCAAGTTTTTCAAGTTTCAATGATAAAAATAGGAAAAAAAATAATAAGCGTGACTAAAAACATAGTCTGGCTGTTGAAAAAAGATTGGTGGCCCGTAGTTACATGCACGTTGCAACATTATGCTGCACATGCGTAATGAGTTTCCTTGTTGTTTTTGTAATAACATCATTACCACTATAGTGGCTGAGCAGACAAAATATATTTCTATAAAAAAAAACGTCGTGTATTTTTTTTTTACTTAAAAATAACAACAACTAAAACATGCAAGTAAATTTGTTTTTGTTTAAGTTGTTTTTATCTTCTTTTTGTTTTTGTTTGTTTTGTCTTTTTTAACAAACCATAAAATTCTGGTTTCAGGTTGTTTTTTTATTATTATTAAATTAAATGACGTTGGAAATTATTTTTATATTTATAATTTTTATATATTAATTGTACTTGCAAAAAAAAAATTCCAGACTTTTTGTTATTTATATATCTTTCACTTTTGCCTCTCTTTCACCCCTTTATCAAAATGACTAGTATTTTTAGTAAAGGAGCTTAAGAAATTTTATTATTTTCCTTTTGTTCTTCTTCTTGTTGTTGTTTCTTTTATCAGCTGATGTCATTTTAACTGTCATTGACATTTGTTAAGTGTTTGTGACACATGTTGAAGTTTTTTGTTTTGATTGTCATTATAGTTGTTGTTGTTGTTGTTTTGCAGTTGTTGCTGCTGGCATTTAACGCCCAAGGTGATAAAAATTATTATCCTGTTTGTACAGTTTTGTCATCATCATTTGTGTCATGCTACTTATTTTTATTATAAATCATTTTAAACTTTTTATTATCAAGATTATTAAAACTAATATGTAATTATGTTTTTTATTTAATGCTAAAATTATCATGAAAAAGTTAACTAAACTATAAAGATGCTTTTTAGTTCTAGTTGAAAATTGAGACATTATTCAATCAAGTTATAATTTTTTGCGTTATTATGTTTTAAAAATTAATAACCATTTACCTACTTATTTGACCCACTTTTAAGTACATTTTGTTTCTGCCTCTTCTGTCAATAATTGTCTGAACATGTCATCGTAAAAAAACCTTTTGAGTATTAAGATTTTTTCTACTCGTTACACACATAAAAAGTTATTTATGCATTAAATTGAGCATTTAATTTGTTAAAGAAAAAGTAGAACAAATACATGCTAATTTGTTTATTTATAAAAAATCTTTTAAAATATGTCTTAATTTTGAAAATTACTAAAACTCTTAGTCGAGATAATTGTCGTCTATATTATAATTTTATATATAGTCTTGATTATAATGAAGTTTATATAGAACTATATATTTGGATTTTTGGTAATAGATTTTCTGTTATAAATTCAACTTTTTGAATAAAGTGAAATTTTGCCTTTTTTATCTTTTTTGTTAAAAAAGTGAGTTTCTTATGTAAATTTCAGACATAGGTAAAATAGTCCTTTTCTAAAAATGCTTTTGATGAGAATTGATTTTTAGTGAAAATTTCACTTTTTGATAAAAATTTTACTTTTTGGTGAAAATTTCACATTTTGGTGAAAATTTCACTTTTTGGTGAATATTTCACTTTTTGGGGAAAATTTTATTTTTATATGAAAATATCACTTTTTGGATAAAAATTTCACTTTTATGTTTAACGTTAATTTTACCTTTACGTGAAATAAAGATTATCAGAGAAAATTTTCCTAAATTGCATCTGTTAAAAATTTTACATTTGGTAAGAAACTCCAAACGGATATTTTTAATGAAAATTTAACTTCTAAGTGAAATAGAGATTAACTGATGAAATTTTCACTTTTTACTAAAAATCCAAATGGTAAAAATTTCACATTTTGGTGAAAAAATCATTTGTCTATATAAAATTTAAGTTTTGAGTGAAAAAACATACATTCACCCCTATCGCCAATCAACATTTCACGTGAAATATGTTGCCTTTTCACTTTTTTCGTTCACTAACTTTTTTGTCGTGAAAAAAATTCCCCTGTTGTGAAATTTGTTGATGGAATTTTGTAAACATTGAACAGCTGTTGCATACAAAATCAACTATTGTGAATGAATTGTTCAAAACAAGTTTACGATAGCAATTTTCCCTTCTATTGGCCATAGGGGTGATTATTTCACAAAAAATTGTTCAAAATTTCACTTTTTCGTGGACTTTATGTTAAAATTTCAGTTTGTAGTTCAAAAGATATGTATTTCCAAGTAAAATTTGTCCATTTTGATGGAAAATGAATTTTGTAGTGAAAATGTGATTTTCTTGTATTATTTCACCTTTTAGTCTTTAAATTCCAGTGAAAATTTAACTTTTTAAAGCAAAGTGTTGAAATTTGCAAAAAAAAATGTTTACAGAAAAATTTCACTTCTCGGTGGAAAAGGGTTTTTTGATGCAAATTCACTTTATAGGGAAAATTTCACTTTCTATTGAAAATTTTACTTGTTAACGTAAAAGTGATTTTCTAGGTAAAACTTTTTGGTGGAAATTAAGCGATTTAAAAGATTTCTTTGTAGTAAAAAAGTGATTTTCTGTCAAAAATTTCACTTTTTAGTGCAAAAATAATTTTTAGTGAAAATAATTTCACTGTAATTATCAATCTTCTAGTGAAAATTTCACATTTTAGTGAAATACTGTAGTTTTAAAGTAGTGTCCTACTTTATGGACATCTGGACCAGTCCCTGACGGATATATAAGCTTTTAAATCAAAACTTAAACTCGACAACAGAGAATTCGACATTCGACAAGTAAAGTAAAATATATTTGTTGGCGACATTTTATGTTTTGTAAGAAAAAATCGCTCAATTTAAACACTTTTTAAGGATATTGGCAACTCACTGAACAAATTGAAGTTTCTATTTTACGGTAATAAAATACATATTGAAAAATACGAAATTAAATTAAAAAAATGAATGAATTTGTTATGATTTAGAACTAAAAATAGTAACAGCTTTGGAAAAAAACACTATGTATTTAGTTTCAACCATAATAACAAAGTGAAAGCAAAAAACAATAAATTATTATCTCTACTAAAAAGCAATTAGCTTAAATACCTAGATAAATTTATTAATTTATTTTTAACTTATAAAAAAGGCATGACTTGATCTCTGATATTTATTAAGTAATTAGCTGCTAATTACTAATAAGCTAATTATGTATTTAATTATTATTAAAACAAAAAGTGAATATAAAAGTGAATAATAACTTACCACACCACAATCAGCAGCCGGTGAATTTTCCACAATATCATAGATAACATGTGGGGGACCCGTAGTGCCCAACAGAGAAAAACCAAAACCGGAATATTCGCTACTGCGACGTAAAACCACTTTCAACTCTTCGGTTGACATTTTTGAAGCGAATGTAATGTTGTTTTGTTGCTGTTTTTGTTATTGCTACTAATGCTAGTAAAAATTTTTGTTGTTGTTATAATCAATTATTTGTTTTTTTCACTGAACTTCTAAAGGTTTTTTTTCGTATTAATTACATATTTAAGTTTTGTTTTTTTTAACTTTTTTTAACTCCTTTTATAAGGAAAAATTTAAATTAAAGGAAATAATTGTTAAAATTTTATTTTTATACGTTAATTTTTTGTTGGAAGCTTTTTACACGTTTTTTTTTTTTGCAATTTTCTTTTAATTTTCTTTTTTCTATTTTATTTAAACTTTATTTCGTTATTTCTTTAATATTTTTATATTATTTCTTTTTTAATTTATGCTTAGCTGCATCTGAAATGCTTGACTGGATTTTTTGGTTTTTGGGCTTGGTCTTACATATAAAAAACAAAAAAACGTTAAGACTTCGTTGTTGTTTTTGTTGTTGTTAAATCATCGTCGTCGTCGTATTCATTGTATATAACGCCGCTTCGTTCAAAACGTCAACGGCGTTGACGTAGTCTTTACTGTTGTTGTTGTTTGTGTTTAGTTTTCAAATAAATTCAAGTATTTTTTCTTCCGTAAATTAACGCCGACTACGTTTACAACAACAATATCTCGCTATTACTTACACAAACATACGCAACATAATACACAAATTTAAAAACAAAACTAATAACAATCACTAACTAAAAGAAAACACAAAAGACTCTATTATTCCTTATTAAAACAACAATAAAATCCTATTGTTTTTATAATTTTCCTTTTATAGAAAAAAAAACCAAAAACAGGAGTCTCCTGTTGTTGTTGTTGTTTTTTCTTTTTACGTTGAAAAGAAAATACAACAAATCTTCTGCATAAACTCTCTTTTTCACACTCTCTCTCTCTCTCTGCTTTGCCTTTGTTGTACAAAAATCAAGAAAGAAAAAAACTAAACAGCTCTGCTTACAAAAGGTGTGTGTGTGTTTTTTCTGCTTTTTCTTTTCTTCCAGCGTCACCACTTTTTTCGCAAATGCACTTGTTTTTTTTTCTTTTCTTATTCAATGAAATTTTAGTAATTTATTTATTAACAACAACAATTAAAACTAATAAATTTTCCCTTCTGTTAAACTTAAAACACAAATTTAATTTCTTTTTTTTTTAATTAAAAGGAAAAAATTCCAGTTTTTTCTTTAATTTACCGACGACGTCGCCACCCGTTCTTTTTTTTCTACTAATGTTGATGCAACTTTTTTTCTTCTCAGTTACATATTTTTTCCAAGACTTATAAATCCTTTATATACTATTTATTTATTATTAATTTATTTTAAATTTGTTGTATTTTTTACCAGTTTTATTTTTTTAACTATTTTTCATATTTTTTCTCTAGATTTGCTTTAAAAATCAACCGACGACCGACCGCACTTTATTAAATAAACACTTTTTTCGAAACGCCATCATCAGAGACCTGCGCGACAAACATGAACAACGTCTACGACTGACACAAAAAGTTTGGCGGCGGCTTAGCATAGACAGTAAGCCGGCTGTGCTTTTTAAATGATACTTTAGCGATGAAATAACTTATTATTTTTGTTCTGATTACAATACTCCTTGAAGTTTACATCAAATAGAGTTGCTTAATAGAAAAAACGAAATAGTTTTTACTGGGATAATATTAAAATTATTAGGCAAAGTATACAGTAACGACCACTTTAAAATTTTAGGGTTTCTGAATGTCAAAGACATTAATAAACGAATAACCAATAATCGTTGGAAAACAACAGAGCACAAAGTTGCCACATTTTTATCTTCAAAACACAGTAAGTAAGTAAGTAAGTAAGTAAGTAAGTAAGTAAGTAAGTAAGTAAGTAAGTAAGTAAGTAAGTAAGTAAGTAAGTAAGTAAGTAAGTAAGTAAGTAAGTAAGTAAGTAAGTAAGCGTCCGTCCCGTCCGTCCGTCCGTCCGTCAGTCCGTCAGTAGTACGTCCGTCGTCCGTCCGTCCGTCGTCCGTCAGTCGTCCGTCACGTCCGTCCGTCCGTCCGTCCGTCGTCCGTCCGTCCGTCCAGTCCGTCCGTCCGTCCGTACGTCCGTCCGTCCGTCCGTCCGTCCGTCCGTCCGTCCGTCCGTCCGTCCGTCCGTCCGTCCGTCCAGTCCGTCCGTCCGTCCGTCCGTCCGTCCGTCGTCCGTCCGTCCGTCCGTCCGTCCGTCCGTCCGTCCGTCCGTCCGTCCGTCCGTCCGTCCCGTCCGTCCGTACGTCCGTCCGTCCGTCCGTCCGTCCGTCCGTCCGCCGTCCGTCCGTCCGTCAGTCCGTCCGTCCGTCCGTCCGTCCGTCCGTCCGTCGTCCGTCCTCCGTCGTCCGTCCGTCCGTCCGTCCGTCCGTCCGTCCGTCCGTCCGTCCGTCCGTCGTCCGTCCGTCCGTCCGTCCGTCCGTCCGTCCGTCCGTCCGTCCGTCCGTCCGTCCGTCCGTCCGTCCGTCGTCCGTCCGTCCGTCCGTCCGTCCGTCCGTCCGTCCGTCCGTCGTCCGTCCGTCCGTCCGTCCGTCCGTCCGTCCGTCCGTCCGTCCGTCCGTCCGTCCGTCCGTCCGTCCGTCCGTCGTCCGTCCTCGTCCGTCCGTCCGTCCTCCGTCCGTCCGTCCGTCCGTCCGTCTCCGTCCGTCCGTCCGTCCGTCCGTCCGTCGTCCGTCCGTCCGTCCGTCCGTCGTCCGTCCGTCCGTCCGTCCGTCGTCCGTCCGTCCGTCCGTCCGTCCGTCCGTCCGTCCGTCCGTCCGTCCGTCCGTCCGTCCGTCCGTCGTCCGTCCGTCCGTCCGTCCGTCCGTCCGTGTCCGTCGTCCGTCCGTCCGTCCGTCCGTCCGTCCGTCCCGTCCGTGTCCGTCCGTCCGTCCGTCCGTCCGTCGTCCGTCCGTCCGTCCGTCCGTCCGTCCGTCCGTCCGTCCGTCCGTCCGTCCGTCGTACGTCCGTCAGTCCGTCCGTCTCCGTTCGTCTTCGCGTCCGTCCGTCGTCGTCCGTCGTCGTCCGTCCGTATCGTACTCCTTCCTCCGTCCGTCGTCGTCCGTCCGTCGTCCGTTTCGTGTCCGTCGTCTTCGTCCGTCCGTCCGTCGTCGTCCGTCCTCGTCCGTCGTCCGTCCCCCCTGTGTTTTCTTTTCCCCTGTTTCCTCCCTCCCTCTCCCCCCCCCTTTTTCCTGCTTTCTTTCTTTCCCCTCAATATTTAATCTGGCCACATTAAATGAATAGAAAAGTTTGCCATATCGCTTCATTTTCTATTTAACCACATTAACAATGTCAATTGCCTAAAAGAAAGTTAAGAAAAGACTTCAGTTCTTTCGGTATTTTTTAGTACGTAGTTGGTAGAAAATTAGTTAAATTTTATTACTGTTTTGTTAAATAAAAAACATTAATTTTTTTTTAAAGCTTTACGAGATTGATACAAAAACAAAATGAATAGCATTTCGGGACTTGTTAAGGAAACCCTGCCAAATTATTTGTCCAGTTTGCCTGTACCCGATACCTTCTCGGGCTGGTTTAAATTGTCATGTAAGTTTAATTGTTTAATTTTATTTTGTTTGTACTTGATAATTGAAGGAAAAATTGCAGTTGTAGTGCAAGCTCATTTATTAACACCAAAATCAGGTCATATAGATTAGTTGTTTTTCTTTTTTGCAAAAATAGTGTTTTTAGTTTAATTTCAATTTTTTTGGGGCTTTTGCTCTTTATCTTTATAATTGATATCTTGGTTAAATTTTTATTTAATTAGTTTTTTGTAAGACTTTCGGTCATTATATATAGTAGTTTGTGTTTTTTGTTTAAAAAAGTGTTTTTTTAATTGTTTTAGAAAAAAGATTATGCAATAGCAGTCTTTTTCACATTTAAGCACCTTTGGAATGTTTTTTTTTGTCCGTTTTATTTTTTGTCTTTATTTTATCATGTTTATTGCTTATAGAACAGAAAATTTACTCGTGTTTTTGTCTTTGTTTTTATTGTAGAATGACATGATTCTATTGTAAATGTTGTTGTTATTATTGTTGTAGTGGGAATGAGAGAGTGCTGGCATTCTCAAAAAAAGTAAAATTTTCACTAGAAAATCACAAAAAGTGAAATTTTAACTAGAAAATCACAAAAAAAAAAAATGAAAATTTCACTATAAAATCACCAAAAATTAAATTTCCGATAGAGAATTACTAAAAGTGAATTTTTCACTAGAAAATCATGAAATTGAAATTTTTACTAAAAAATCATAAGTGAAACGTTCTTTAGAAAATCACCAAATGTTAAATTTTTACAAAAAAATCGGAAAAATTTAAAGTCACCAAAAGAAAATCACCAAAAGTAAAATTTTCACTAAAAATTCGAAAAAATTTAGTCACAAAAAATTAAATTTTTACTAATATTTTTTAAATTAAATTTTGATTAAAATTATGATTTTTAATTTCAGTCAAAGATTGGTTATCCCTCATTCCACCCACTGCCGTTGCTGCTGGTATTGGTTATACCATTTATTTGGCCTATTGCCCAGCTGCTCGTAAAGGTGGCTGCTCCAAAGCCGGCATATGCAATCAATCGGTACGCAAACATGAAGCTAAAGTTGTTGATATGATTGATATTGAAAATATTGCCGAAAAGGCTGCCTTCTGTCGTTGCTGGAAAACAAAGAATGTAAGTTTTTCATGAAAAAATTGTAATTCTTCATAAACCCTAATATGGGTTTTTCTTGTTTTCTATCCAACAGTGGCCCTATTGTGATGGCAGCCATGGTGAACACAATAAGCAAACCGGTGACAATGTTGGTCCTGTAGTGCTCAAGAGAAACTCTTAAATATTAAATTAATATCGATGATATTTTTTACTATTAATTTTGAATATTTTCGTTTTTTGCTGTTTTATTTTTCATTTTTTCATTTTTTTTTGTTTTAATTACGTTTATGATATTAGCACCCGTTTGTCTTTGAAAGCTTTCTCATCTGGTGTCAAATAGTTTATTGTTTAAAAAAGAATACATTTCTCTAAAAATTTAATATTTAAATTGTGGCAGATTTTCGCAAAAAAAACCCAGTTTTGTTGTGCTTAAGACAATAGTTTAATTAATTAGAATGAAATAATACAGTGTGTAACAAAATAAATATTGAAACAAAAAAACATAATAGATTTCTTTAATTTTAAATGACAAAACTTATAATTTATTCCATTTAAAATTGGTCCTTTTCATAAAAAATGTGCAAAATAGGAAGTTTTTAAAATAAAATTAAATTTTTAGCTTAAAATTTTAAATATTTGTATCAAAATGTGAAATTTTTAATAGAAATATACGTTTTTGTTGCAAATGTGAAATATTATCGCCACAAAGTGAGAAAACTTTTACGCCACAAACGTAAACATTTCACTTTTTTGAAAACAAGTTTTTCGCCTCAAAAATGTTCTAGTAACATTTTTGAGGCGATCACCACTAAGTAAAAATAGTTTTTCGTTTCCCAAAAATGAAAAGCTTTCCTCCCAAAAATGAATCCAGAAATCACTTTTTGTCTCAAAATCGTTATCTCTTATATGCTCCAAAAGTCATATAAAACAAATAAAAGTTTTCCGTCCTAAAAGTGAAATTTTCACTTAAAATTATTTTTCAATAGAAAAACACTTCTTCGATACAAAAGTAACTTTTCAACGGAAAAACAACTTTTAGCTGGAAATCACTTTTTCGCTCCAAAATTTAATTTTTTTCCAGGACAACTGAATTTTTTTACTTTTTCGCTCTAATAAACTTTTTCGCCTCAAAAATCGAATTTTCACTAAATAACTACTTTTCACCTAAAAAAATTAATTTTAATAGAAAAATCTCTTTTTCGCCGCAAAGCCAAATTTTCGCCAGAAATCACTTTTTCCTTCAAAAATGAAGTTTTAATCAAAAAATTACTTTTCCTCTCTAAATATGAAATTTTCTTCCAAAATTACTTTTTCGCCGCAAAGTCAAATTTTCGTCAGAAATCACTTTTTCCTTCAAAAAATTTAGTTTTAATCGAAAAATCACTTTTCCTCTCTAAATATGAAATTTTCTTCCAAAATGACTTTTTCGCCGCAAAATCAAATTTTCGTCAGAAATCACTTTATCCTTCAAAAAAATAAATTTGAATAGAAAAAACATTTTCCTATTAAAAGTGAAATTTTAATAGAAAAAAATCATTTCCCCTCTTAAAGTGAAATTTTCTTCAAAAAATCACTTTTTCCTCATAAAAAATAAAATTTTATTCAAAAAAAACTTTTCCCCTCTAAAAGTAATTTTTTTTTTTTTTTTTTTGAAATTCACTTTTTCGCAGTAAAGTGAAATTTTCGTAACTTTTTTTTTAAATAAATATTTAAATTTAGCACTATTTTTGGGCTTTTTTCTTTCAGTGTAAATTTACACCATCCACACACACACGTTTTTCATAATTCCTGCAAGTGCAGCAGAGCAAATTCAGCAATTATTGCTGATTGTTTACATCCAAAAACAGCTGTTCTAATTCAGCGCTTACAAGAAAAATTGATAAAACAAAATGCAGCAGCAATTGTTGCAATTTAGTTTTGTTGCAAGTAGTTCTTTTATTTCTATTAAAAATAAAGAAAATAAAGTTCGAATAAATAATAAGAAAAACCAAAGTTGTATTTGAGTTTTTTGTGGAAAATGTATTACAAAAACATTTGTTTTCTTTTTTTTAATTACATATATAAAAAAATAGGCGAGAATAATTAAAAAAAAAAATAGTACAATGCAAAATACAATCAGACAAACAAGCCGTATCTTGATGTTCTCTATATATGGCCATATAGTTTTTTAACACTACTAGTACTAAGATTTTTAAAAAATCTAAATAATGGGACACAAGACTTAAAATGAAATTTAACATAAATATTAGTTAGCGGCGGCTCCTGTTTTTTTTTTTAATCATGCTGCTAAAGCGGCCATAGTTCTTGATAATGATGTTTTTATTACAGTTGTTGTTATTGTTGGAGTCTTTATTAGTTTATTTGAAGATTTTGCCTTGGTTGAATTTGCGGCCTTGTTTGTCGGTACCGGACCAGGAGAAGTATTGTTCAACCAATTTCTTGGTTTCCTCGGATTTGGCATCCAATTTCTTCCAGTCGTAGACTTCGTAATCGACTTGCCAATCGGGAGACAAAGTGAAGGCGAGATCTTGTCCACGCCATACCCAGATACCGGAGATGGAGGAGTTGTTCTCTTCACCGAACAAGCAGACGGAGGCGAAGGCCTGCTTGCGCATCTTGTCGAGACGTTGGAACATGCCGGAGATGAGATTGCAAGACATGAAGGTCTTGGTGAGTTCCTCGTTGTATTTGTATTCACCGAACCAGATGGAGTAGTGTTCGGGGTCGAACTTTTCCCAGAAGTAGGGAATGGAGACCTTCTCCTCTTCGTTGGAGTAGACACGCTTGAAGTCGTCAAAGTTGAAGGTGCCCTTGGGCATGGCATCGAAGGGATCCTTGGACTTGGGTTCGGCAGCAAGGGCCTCATCGGCAGCATCGAGCTCTTCTTTGGGTTCTTCCTTCTTAGCAGCGGGTTTCTTTTCTTGTTTCTTTTCTTCCTTGGGCTTTTGTTGCTTGCCACCGGTCTTGGCTTGGAATTCGGCGTACTTCTTAGGGTCGAAGACCAAAGCCTTTTCGCAGATGGTGTAGTTCTTGACTACGGCTTGCACTTGCTTTTGGTGGAGGATGGTGTTGAACCAACGGTTGAGGTTGGTGTAGGGCTTGCGGGCAGCCTCATCCAAGACGTATTGGTAGACGTGCAACAAGCTGCAGAATACAACAATATCGGCCAAAGTGATGCGTTCACCAACCAAGTAGGTGGATTCCAAGAATTTCTTGTTCAACAAATCCAAAACAACTTCGACATCTTGTTTGGCAGTGCTGCCCTTTTGTTGGGGCATGATGCCCAACAAGGGGAATACCAAGGCACAGGAGGCAGGGACGACTTCGTTGTCGGCGAAAGACAACCATTGTTGGACCTGAGCTTGGGCGAAGGGGCATTTGCCACCACGCAATTGTTCACTGGCCAAGAAGAAAGCGATGGCGTTCGATTCGCTAAGGTATTTGCCATTCGAGGTTTCGAAAGCAGGCACCTACACACACACAAGCACGCAACATGAAAATGACAAGAGAAAAAATAAGAAATTAACATTTGCAACCTAACCTCAATTTAGGTGATGACGTTATTAGGCGGCTTTACGAGTGTAAATGACCGTTGATGACGTTTACACAATTTTTCGCACACTTTTCACTACAACTTACCTTGCCACTGGGGAACTTCTTCAAGAATTCAGCCGATTTGTTTGTTTCGCCGAAAACAAAGTTATCAGCAACTTTTACTTGAGCACCCGAATATTGGGCAGCAATCAATGCCTTGTAGGCACGGAAATTTTCTGGGTATGTGTAAATAGTCTAAATTGTTAAAGAAAATAATACAAAAACAATATTAGTATGGATGCTCTTCTGGGTTTAGCAACTATTTTCATTCCATTTGAAAATAAATTTTTTGCGATGTTTTAGATATTTGCAAATTAATTTAGGTGAAAAATTTTACTTACTCCTGTCGCCATCGTTGATTTTGCCGGAGAGAAAGAAGTTTGACAGCCGCAAATTTTAGACACCGTGTGTGTGTGACAACAGCAAATGTCAAAGAAAAATGTGCCGAAGTCAAATAGGAGAAAAAAAGAGGGGGGTGGGGAAAGGAACATCAGGGGGGGGGAAAAGGGGAGGAGAAAAAGATAGCGGCGCGGGGCGAGGGAAATAGGGAAGAAGGGCAGATAAAGAGAGAGAGGGAAAAGAGCTTAGGAGGGGTGAGAAGGAAGGAGGGGGACGGAAGGACGGACGGACGGAGGACGACGGACGGACGACGGACGACGGACGGACGGACGGACGAGGACGACGGACGACGGACGGACGGACGGACGGACGGACGGACGACGGACGGACGACGGAGGACGGACGGACGGACGGACGGACGGACGGACGGACGGACGGACGGACGGACGGACGGACGGACGGAGACGGACGGACGGGACACGACGGACGGACGGACGGACGGACGGACGGACGGACGGACGGACGGACGGAGGACGGACGGACGGACGACGGACGGACGGACGGACGAGGACGGACGGACGGACGAGGACGGACGGACGGACGGACGGACGGACGGACGGACGGACGGACACGGACGGACGGACGGACGGACGGACGGACGGACGGACGGACGACGGACGGACGGAGACGGGACGGACGGACGGACGGACGGACGGACGGACGGACGACGGACGGACGGACGGACGGACGGACGGACGGACGGACGGACGACGGACGGACGGACGGACGGACGGACGGACGGACGGACGGACGGACGACGGACGACGGACGACGACGGACGGACGGACGGACGGACGGACGGAGGACGGACGGACGGACGACGACGGACGGACGGACGGACGGACGGACGGACGGACGGACGGACGGACGGACGGACGACGAGGACGGACGACGCGGACGGACGGACGGAGACGGACGGACGGACGGACGGACGGACGGACGGACGACGGACGGACGGACGGACGGACGGACGGAGACGGACGACGGACGGACGACGGACGGACGGACGACGGACGACGGACGGACGGACGGACGGACGACGGACGACGGACGGACGGACGGACGGACGGACGGACGGACGGACGGACGGACGGACGACGGACGGACGGACGGACGGACGGACGGACGACGGACGGACGACGGACGGACGGACGGACGGACGACGACGGACGGACGGACGGACTGACGGACGGACGGACGGACGGACGGACGGACGGACGGACGTACTTACGTACGTACTGTACTTACGTACTTACTTACTTACTTACTTACTTACTTACTTACTTACTTACTTACTTACTTACTTACTTACTACTTGCAGTCCATTCCTCCTGCATGCATAAAGTTAAAAATTCATATTTCTTACATCAATGTCAACATATACTACTCCATCTTATGTTCATCATGCCAAAGGGTTAATTGCAAAAACATACGTATGGCAGCACTTTCATTTCATTCCTTCATTGCCAGTTGTCATTACACCTGTCATTGAAGTCCAAAGACTTTAGCCGGTTCAGCCGTAAAAAAAAACAAAAGGTTAGCCGCACTTTCATTTAAAAATTGACGTCGTAAAACAACTTTACATTTTACGTCGACCTCTACACAATTCACATTTTTCCTACATTTCATTTAGTATTTTAATAACCTTGTTAAAATTTAGGATTTTATAACTTCATTTGAACAATTTTTGTAATTTTGTCTACTCTAAACAGTTTAAAAAATGTCACTGACGTTTATGATGTTAAGTAACGGCGTTATGGAATTTAGCTGTCGCCAGTGTGGCTCTGTGTGACTACTCGCTGTTTTGCTGTCAAACGTAAGTAACGAGTTTTAAATATTTTTTTTTACATAACGAGTACTCGAAAAAATGGAATATCAGCCGTGTTAGAACCGGCCGTGCAATTTTTCATTAATTTCTCCAAATAAAATCAAAATTTATTTAATAAATTGTGTTTTAAAGTTTAATTTAAAAACTAAAGAACGACTACCACCAAAAATTAACTAGAAATTACCACAAATATTGGGATAATTTCTAAAGAAAACTTTTACAAAAAGAAACTTTTTTGCGACTTGCGTGGAAAAAACGGAAAAAGAAAACGTAAAGAAAAAAACTAATAAAAAAGCAAAAAGAAAAAAAAATAGTAAATCAAAGTGAAAATTTTTTTGAACATATAATTAATAAAGGAAAATTTCTTTTTAATTAAAAAATTTTAAGCATTGAAAGATCTTAAAAGAAAATTTGTGACAACTAGTAAAAGTGTCTGGACGGAAAGAAGAAAAAATCATTAAAAGGTGTTGAAATGAGAAAAAAGTAAAACTTAATTAAAACTTTATGCAGTTTTTTATGGGCCAATTAATTTGTTGAGCTGGAAATAGACGTTGGCTGTTGGTGGACGTTTTTGATGTTTTAATATCGTCGTTCTGGCAAAAGGAAATACACATTTTTTATTTTTTTTAATCTCAAGCCACAAATGTTTGGTATTCAAGCAAAATATGTAAGTTTTAAATTAAATAATATTAAGAAAAAAATGAAATTTGCATTAATTGAAATACATTTACAACATTTTGTCATGTAAAATAACATATAAACAAAGCTAAATAAATAATTTAGTTACTCTCGTTTATTTTTCAACTATTCTCCTTTCGGTTTTTTTCTTTCACTCACTCTCTCTTATTTATGCCACCTTTTTCTCATCGCTGCGATGAAGGTGTGGTGATGCCAGATGTGCTGTGTTGATAAATTCCTGAACATGGCTTGGAAATTGTAGATAGATCAACGTAATTGTAAATATTTTTTAAGATTATAAAAAAAATGTTTGAGTTTTTTTAATATGTCCTATAGTCTGGTCTATAGTCTGGTCTATATTCTAGTCTATATTCTAGTCTTTAGTCTATAGTATAGTCTATAGTCTAGTCTATAGTCAAGTCTATAGTTTAGTCTATAGGGTAGTCTCTAGACTAGTCTATAGTCTAGTCTATAGTCTAGTCTATAGTCTAGTCTATAGTCTAGTCTATAGTCTAGTCTATAGTCTAGTCTATAGTCTAGTCTATAGTCTAGTCTATAGTCTAGTCTATAGTCTAGTCTATAGTCTAGTCTATAGTCTAGTCTATAGTCTAGTCTATAGTCTAGTCTATAGTCTAGTCTATAGTCTAGTCTATAGTCAGTCTATAGTCTAGTCTATAGTCTAGTCTATAGTAGTCTATAGTCTAGTCTAAGTCTAGTCTATAGTCTAGTCTATAGTCTAGTCTATAGTCTAGTCTATAGTCTAGTCTATAGTCTAGTCTATAGTCTAGTCTATAGTCTAGTCTATAGTCTAGTCTATAGTCTAGTCTATAGTCTAGTCTATAGTCTAGTCTATAGTCTAGTCTATAGTCTAGTCTATAGTCTAGTCTATAGTCTAGTCTATAGTCTAGTCTATAGTCTAGTCTATAGTCTAGTCTATAGTCTAGTCTATAGTCTAGACTATAGTCTAGTCTAGTCTATGTCTAGTCTATAGTCTAGTCTATAGTCTAGTCTATAGTCTAGTCTATAGTCTAGTCTATAGTCTAGTCTATAGTCTAGTCTATAGTCTAGTCTATAGTCTGTCTCTAGTATAGTCTATAGTCTAGTCTATAGTCTAGTCTATAGTCTAGTCTATAGTCTAGTCTATAGTCTAGTCATAGTCTAGTCTATAGTCTAGTCTATAGTCTAGTCTATAGTCTAGTCTATAGTCTAGTCTATAGTCTAGTCTATAGTCTAGTCTATAGTCTAGTCTATAGTCTAGTCTATAGTCTAGTCTATAGTCTAGTCTATAGTCTAGTCTATAGTCTAGTCTATAGTCTAGTCTATAGTCCAGTCTATAGTCTAGTCTAGTCTAGTCTAGTCTAGTCTATAGTCTAGTCTATAGTCTAGTCTATAGTTAGTCTATAGTCTAGTCTATAGTCTAGTCTATAGTCTAGTCTAAGTCTAGTATAAAGTCTAGTCTATAGTCTAGTCTATAGTCTAGTCTATAGTCTAGTCTATAGTCTAGTCTATAGTCTAGTCTATAGTCTAGTCTATAGTCTAGTCTATAGTCTAGTCTATAGTCTAGTCTATAGTCTAGTCTATAGTCTAGTCTATAGTCTAGTCTATAGTCTAGTCTATATAGTCTAGTCTATAGTCTAGTCTATAGTCTAGTCTATAGTCTAGTCTATAGTCTAGTCTATAGTCTAGTCTATAGTCTAGTCTATAGTCTAGTCTATAGTCTAGTCTATAGTCTAGTCTATAGTTCTAGTCTATAGTCTAGTCTTATAGTCTAGTCTATAGTCTAGTCTATAGTCTAGTCTATAGTCTTATAGTCTATAGGTCTTAGTCTATAGTCTAGTCTATAGTTAGTCTCGTCTAGTCTATAGTCTAGGTCTATCGTCTAGTCTATAGTCTAGATCTATCTTCCTAAGTCTATAGTCTCGTCTAAGTCTAGTCTATAGTCCTAGTCTATAGTCTAGTCTATCGTCTAGTCTATAGTCTAAGGTCTAGTAGTCTAGTCTATGTTCTAGTCTATAGTCTAGTCTATAGTCTAGTCTTTAGTCTAATCTATAGTCTAGTTCTATAGTCTAGTCTATAGTCTAGTCTATCGGCTAGTCTATAGTCTAGTCTATAGTCTAGTCTATAGTTAGTCTATAGTCTAGTCTACAGTCTAGTCTATAGTCTAGTCTATTAGTCTAGTCTATAGTCTAGTCTATAGTCTATCTATAGTCTAGTCTATAGTCTAGTCTATAGTCTAGGTCTATAGTCTAGTCTATAGTCTAGTCTATAGTCTAGTCTATAGTCTAGTCTATAGTCTAGTCTATGTCTAGTCTATAGTCTAGTCTATAGTCTAGTCTATAGTCTAGTCTAGTCTAGTATTAGTTTATTCTATTGACTATAGTATAGTCTATAGTCTAGTCCATGGCATAATAATAAAGAATCGACCGAGTCATACTCGACCAAAAATTTTCAACCAAGCGACAGCTGTATTAACCGAAAATATATTCCCCTGGAAACTGTCGGCCATGGTTGAACTGTTACAACAACTCCAAAGACCTCTGGAGCCTTCCCATATAGATTTATTTGGTCCTAATTCTAAACTTAAACTTGATAATACTTTCATTCTACACCTGTAAAACTTTTGATTGAAGTAAATCAACTGTTTAGAAATTACAATTATAATATTCTTTATTTAATTTTCAATTGAAAGATATCAAATCCCTTATCCGTGGCATCACCAACACTTTCTCACTCTCTCTTACACTTTGCATCACTTACTTTCCCGTCTCTCTGCTGTGATGAATTTTAATATTTTTTACAGTCTGTGAATTGTTGATATTGCCATTTTTTTTACATTACAATGTTACCTAACCTTAGATAACTGTTATTTTTTGTTGCTCTTTTCATATATTTGCTTTTTTTTTTGGGGTGTATGAGTTTAGCAAAATCTCCCCATATTTTGTTGTTGTATTTTAATTGTCTAATTGTTGTGATGATTTTAGGTGTATGAATAAGTGAGTTTATTTTACTTTTTTCTTTTCACTTCTAGCAATGTGTCATTCATTTTTAATAACAGTTTGATGTTGTTGGATTTTTATTTATTTATTGCAGCATCTCCCCTGTTATTTATTTATTCCTAAGTACTATATTGTTTGTTTATTAAGTTGAATAGAAAGAAAAAACAACAATATTAAATTTTCTCGTTAAGCCTACCTTAACATTAGGTATTCAATGCAACATGACCTTCATTGCAGAATTACTATTACGATGTCGTCTACTACTATTTGTACTATTTTTCTACTACAATTTACTAGTGCTGCTGCCACTACATTTTATGACGGCGGGGAGTAATAACTACACTTTTTTTTAATTGAAAATTACAACTTTTTTTTTTTATCAATTTTTCTATAAAAAAACATTTTAAATATAATTTTTTTCTGTATTTTCTATAAGAAAATTTAATTTCCCATTTGCGCTTAGTTATTTTTCATAATAATATTATGTTATTAGACAAATTTGTTTCCCCTGTTATTAGTTTGCAAATGGAAAATAATCAATAGGTATAATACATATTTGATAAACTTAAAAACTATTGATAACAGTTAAGATTTGTAGGTAATATATTGTTATCACCTTTGCAATCATTATACAATATTTTTTAATTGATTTATTTATTAGCATTTAGTTGTGAAATTTATGAAATGCTTCTTTTCTTCGTTTGGTAAAGTTGTATGCTGATATTAGCGATGCC